TTTGTTCATTAGACGTAACACGATGATTCTATTATATAATAAAACAAATATATAATCAAAATAAAAAGACTTTTTGTTTTTTTGTTTTTTTCTTACAGTAATACTTTTTTCAACGATAACACTTAAAACAACGTCATCACGATTATCAGAATAAGAAAAATTGTAAAGACCATGTTGTGGAATATTGAAAATAAATGCTTCACATGTATGAAAATGATGACGAAAAAATGGTTCAACTTTGACACATTTATGTATAGCTAAAATAAGTTTTAAGATAAAGAAAAATATATTCTATTTAAAATTAATAATCTATTTCAGAAATTCGAACAGATTTGTCGAAAAAAAAGCTTCTTTCTTATAAAATCTATTTCATATCGCTCGAGATACTTTGTTGCTTAGTACATAAAAACCATTTTTTTTCTTTTCTCAGCACGAAACAAAACATATTACAATAAAAATCTTTTCTTTTTGCAATAATGTGGGATACACATGGAAAAAATAAGGTAGATGAAAAATGAAAAGAAATATTGCTAAAACCTTCTCACTGATGATTATATTGCTAAGCAAAAAAGCGACTTCCAAATAAACTGAGTGAAGGTTATGACTTCATATATACTAATAATAATAAAACGAAAGTCTTAAACATTTTCGGTAATTTTATATTTATAGTCACAAACGAAATGTTTGACGTTATCTAAGGTAATGTTATTAATCAGTAATTTTTATTTTGTGGTCGTTGGCTAATATATTGATGGATTGTAGGAATATAATTAAAATCATTTAAGGTCACTCCGTCAAAAATTGATCTCAGACTAGGAATATCCAAATTGCATGAAACTTTCAGAATATGTTGAGACTAGCGAGCGGTGGCTATGATAACATTTTCAGCCCCATATCATGACTTTTGACAGAGATATTCACCAAACAAGGATCAAAAATAGCTCTATCGTAGAGCCAAGATTTCTCTCTCGACCTTAATTTTACCTAGGACTAGGCCTTTTCTTTTTAAATTTTAACCGGAGAAAATGGATGGCAAGTTTAACGGCTCAAAAAAACCTTAAAATAAATGCGGAAACTTCGGATTTAAATCCGAGAGTTATGTGTACTT